TTTAAAAAGCAACATTTTTGTTCCATTCACAGAGTGAAGGCATATATTTTGGTTTCTTTCCTTGATTTAATGAAAACTTGAAAAACAAAAAGAAGTTGATTTTTTTTTTTCTTAACTGATAAATCTTATTGTTCAGCATGTAAATTGTCACTCTCTCATGTATGCTAAATTTAAGCTAAGCTATAAGGTTTGCTGTTTGGAAGTGTGGAAGATACCAGAGTTGGCGCTACAGATAGCAAGTTTATGCTTTTATTTCCTACTGATGAAGACTTTCACCCAAGTTATTCTCTGGGTAGGTGATCAGAATATCACTCTGCATGTATATGCATTTTATTCTACATTTTTGCATGATTATACATGTTGGAGTGGTACAATTTTGACTTGGTTCTTATTGTTAACTAAGCATAATTTGACCTCCATAAATCTGTTTGATTCTACTTTGGACAAAGCAGTGCTGGTAATTAAAGGCAATCCGTTGAGAAATTGATAAAAGGAATTAATTACAAACAGCACCACCATTGGTTAGGTAATAAACAGTCAATATTGTACTTAACCCTCGTATCTTCTGCACTTAAAACTTTTTTTTTTTTAATCGGTCATGCAATGTCCATTGAAGCCCAGTTGCACTGAACTCTGATGACTCATCACAGGGAGAAATAGCTATCCTTTTTCACATTACTCAAACCTGCCAACCCCTCTTCAACCTCAAGTATTTTCCTTCGATACAGCTGCATGCAACATTTTAGACAGTGAATATTGAAATGCCGATTTGTTAAGGCTTCTCCAACACTTTGCAGTCATCAGTGTTTATTGCAAAAAATCATCGTTTTCCATCATCACCAACCTCGTGCCTTCTCATATTTAACCATTCGTTTACCCCTTTTTAAGTAAAGTGCTGTCATTTTTGGAACTGCGTGTTTTCAAAAAGAAACTAGATTTGACTGTACCTTCCTTTAGTATAAACTGCAAAACTGATTTCAGGTGTTCCATGTATAACTTGTCTCAGAATCTTAACCTGCCAAACATTTTAAAAGGGAAAACTGCGGATTAAAATGTCGATTCTTTTTTTAAAAAAATTTGTCAGCTAGATGGAACGTCAATGTTTAAAAGTTCCATGTCCAAATATCTCTTTTCTTGAGGGAAGGTCCTTTATGGTAGTCCTCGACTTACAACAGTTCATTTAGTGACCATTCGAAGTTGCCACAGCATTGAAAAAAGTGATTTAGGGCTGTTCGCAGTTAGGACCTTTGTCAGCTTCCCCACGGTCAGGTGACCAAAATCCAGACCCTTGGCAACTGACTCATATTTATGACGGTTGCAGTGTCCCGGGATCGTGCGATCCCCTTTTGCGACCTTCTGACAAGCAGACTCAACGGGGGAGCCAGATCCACTTCACTGGATTACTAACTCATCAACTGCAGTGATTCACTGAACAACTGAGGCCAAGGAAGGTCAAAAAAATTGAGGTGAAATTCACTTAACAATTGTCTCACTTAACAACAGAAAATCTGGGCTCAATTGTTGGTCCAGGACTACCTATATAAGAGCCCTGGTGATGCAATTTGTTAGAATGCAGTATATTGCAGGCCAACTCTGCCCACTGCCAGCAGTTCAATCCTGACCAGCTCAAGGTTGACTCAGCCTTCCATTCATCTGAGGTCGGTAAAATGAGGATCCAGATTGCTGGGGGGGCAAGAGGCTGACTCTGTAAACCACTTAAGAGAGGGCTGTAAATCAACATGAAGTGATAAATAAGTCTTATTGCTATTGCTATGGGGATTATGCTATGAGCCATGGTGGCGCAGTGGTTAGAGCGCATTACTGCAGGCTTCTTCTACTGACTGCCGGCTGCCTGCAGTTTGGCAGTTCAAATCTCACCAGGCTCAAGGTTCACTCAGCCTTCCATCCTTCCGAGGTGGGTAAAATGAGGACCCAGATTGTTGGGGGCAAGAGGCTGACTCTATAAACCGCTTAGAGGGGGCTGTAAAAGCACTGTAAGTGCAATTGCTATTGCTATTCTCTACTGATAACAGAGAAATGTCTTTAGTTTGAACTGTAGATCTTCAGCCTTCAAGCTCTTTCCCTATAATACAGTTTATTCGAACTATCATCTCTAGTTATATCGGGCTGAAGCTTACCTTGCATGCAATACAACAGCCTTTCTAATGTTAAAAGTTGTTTTTAAACAGGCAGTCTCCAACTTACAACAATTCGTTTACTGTCCGTTCAAAGTTACCACGGCACTGAAAAAAGGAGCTTACGACCGTTTTTCACATTTATAACCTTTGCAGCATCCCCCTGTTCATGTAATCAGAATTCAGATGCTTGGCAACTGACTCAATTTATGACGGTGGTGTCGTCCCCTCTTACGATTTTCGGTCAAGCAAAAACACCTGGGGAGCTGGATTCACTTAAGAACCATATTGCTCGCTCAGTCACAGTGATCCACTTAACAACGGTGGCAAGAAGGGCCATCAAATGGGGCAAAATTCACTTAACGACTGTCTCGCTTAGCAACGGAAATGGTGATTGTAAATGGAGGACTACCTGTTCTGGATCAATCATGAGCCCAACACTGTGCGTCTCAACATGTAGCGAATTCCCTAAAATGTTTGGCAGAGGCAATTCCCAGCCTTGGGCTAGGAGTCCAAGGGAACTATTGAGCAAACGTTACTACTACCATCTCCAAATTCCTTTTAAGTGACAACTTAAATGAGGGCGGGTTCTCTCGACAGCAAGAGGCTTCCTCTTCCATTATCTGCAAAACATCCTTAGGATGTCCTCAGGAGCGTAAGGGATTTATGGTGGAGACAGCTGCTGGTTTCAAAGAAGCATTTAAAGAGGCAGGAGATGAATTTATGGAAGTGATTATAAACCATTGTTAAGGATGATGATTCACTGCCCGTTGCTGGAGAGCAACCGCGAAGGAGGGGCCCCCCCTTTCTCCGGCTCTTACCCTGCATATGGGCTTCCAAAAATGAATTTGATCGTGGCGGAAAGCAAGAATGCTGGACTTTCTGATCCCTTTCTTAGTCAAGTGATCAATTTGATTAACTGGTAAGCCCATAAATCAGGAGTAACCAGTTTTAGCGATTTTAAGATTTGTGGATTTTAAGAATTGTGGACTTCAACTCCCAGAATTCCCCAGCCAGCTGGCTGGGGAATTCTGGGAGTTGAAGTCCACAAATCATCAAGTCGCCAAGGTTGGCCATCCCTGATTTAAATGTTTCAGACTTCTTAACAATTACACACATTCCCATCACATAAATGCTGTATGCTTCAGATCGAGGAAAACTTGTGATAATAGGACCTGGGAGTAAATGAAATAAACAGGAAATGTCCACATTCTTTTTGAGGACTATCCTAAGCTGAGCACTGAATCCCCAAATGGGTTTCAATCACAAAATGATTGATGGCCTCTACGGATGTGATGGTTAGGAAGTCTCAAGTTCACCTTAAGTGACATTGGGAATAAAAATGGTAAAAGTTTCCCCCGTCCAGTCGTGTCCAACTCTGGGAATGTTGCTTGTCTCCATTTCTTAGCTCAGGGAACCGGCGTTGTCCGAAGACACTTCTATGGTCATGTGGACAGCATGACTATACGCCAAGCTGCACAGAACGTTGTTCCCTTCCCACCGAAGTGGTACCTATTTATCTACTTGCATTTGCATGCTTTCGAACTGCTAGACTGGCCGGAGCTGAGATAGGAATGGGAGCTCACCCCGTTGCCTTGTGCTCGGGTCTCAAACTTGGTCTGTCAGCTTTCTAGCTGACAAGTTCAGCGTCTTCAACCGCTGAGCCGTTGCAACCCTTGAGATTAAAAATCATCCCTCAGCCTAATTTCCTTTATAGGATTGTTCTGAAAATAAAACTGGAGGGGAAAAAAAACGTTCTGCGTTCCTTTGGGAACACCTGGGGAATAATGTGCATCCAAGTAGACATAGTGAAATTTTGGATTTGGTTCAGATATGACTGATTATATAATTTGGCAACCCAGACGTGCTTGCAATAATGCTCACTTCCTTCCTTCACTTCCTGAGGTAGCCCTGGTGAGCCAACAACAGCAGCTTACAAATGAGCAAACTCTGATTTTGTATGTGTGTGTGCAAACTATAGTTTTAAGCCCATTTCAAACTGAAATTTCCAGTTCCAATTTTGAAGTAAACTATGACAAATGGGAACACAAAACATGGCTCATTTGGACAGGAAGGCAATTTTCTGGGCAAATTCCCAGAAACTAAAATGCAGAAGAGAGGAATACACGATCTTAGAACGTATTTCTGACGGCGAATTTGGCCATATCTGAATTGGTCCATTGACTTTGTGTCACAAAACCAGTGCCTTTTTTTATTTAATTTCTCCTCCTCTTCTGTATTAATAGGTAATTGTTACTAGCGTGGTTAGTTTGGGAATAGGCCTGTTACGTTCTACTTCAAATTTCCATCTGGAATTTTGTTTTATAGTCCTTCCATACTAAACAACAAATACTGCAACTTGAAAAAGTTGGGATCAAATTCTTTTGTAAGGGTGGATAGATGAATGACCTGAAAAATGATGATTTGCCCATTATTTGTCTTTTAAGACTCTGTATAATATCAGATCGACCGTATGAATATCAGGGTTGTATTTTATATTTTAATATCAGGGTTATATTTTTTTTTTCTAAATGTAACACTCTAAAACCAAAATAAAACCAGTATAGACATGTATTTGAAATTTATTAGATTTAAGCAGCCATTTTCCAAACAGAAAAAACTACACCATCTTTCTTTCTTTTTAAATAGAAATCATTTAATTCCTGTGACAGAATTAGGGGTCTATGTTTTAATGGGAAGGACAGCTGTCTGTTTCACATATTCATTTCCTGAGTTTTTATGTTAAGCATTTTATTCAGGTGTATTATTGCAACAGCTCATATGTTTTACATGCCGTTTATTTTGAAATGCTCACATGTTGGGTTTTTACAGCCAAAGGCAGTCAATCATCACTGATCTCTGTAGGTTTCCTTTCCTTTCCAGATGGACCTCCCGTCGTGCCCCATTACGATATCTCGGACACAAACTCTGACCCCGAAGTGGTGAACGTGGACAATCTTTTGGCAGCCGCAGCCGTTCAAGAGCACAACAGTTCCGTCGCTAACCAGGACGCTGAGCCTACTTGGAGGACGAGAGGTTTGCTGGAAGAGCTGAATGCAGAGACAAGTGGGTAGAATGTATTTCATGGGTCTTGCTGGGATCATAGCAGCCTTCTGGTCAAAGATGGTCTTCAGCAAGTTCTGACCAGTTCTGGAGAACCGGTAGCAGAAATGTTGAGTAGTTCGGAGAACCGGTGGCAACCATTCCCCAGGAGTGGGGTGGGAATGGAGATTGTACAATATCCTTCCCCTGCCATGCCCAACAAGCCACACCCACCAAGCCACGCCCACAGAACTGGTAGTAAAAAAAAAATTTGAATCCCACCACTGCTTCTGGTGCTTCCCCTCAAGGTTTACTTCTCTTTCCATGTGGAATCACATGATCCCAACCTAGGTCCTGCAGTAGTAATACCTGCGCAAAAAGATATCTGCCTACTTGCAGTACAGGCGATCCTGGACCTCAATTGAGCCCCTAATTTCTGTTGTGAAACGAGACCGTTGTTAAGTGAATTTGACCCATTTTGATGACTTGTTTTGCCAGAGTTGCTTAGCGAATTCCCGCCGTTCTTAATGTCAAGCGCCGCGGAAATCGGGAGTTTCAGATAGCTCAAATGAGTACAGGTAGTGAACAACAGTTCATGTAGTGACCGTGCAGAGTGACAACAGTCCTGAAAAAAGTGACTTGTGACCGTTTTTCGCACTGAGCAGGGTTGCCACATCCCCCAGGGTCACATGATCCAAATTCAGATGCTTGGCAACTGACTCCTACTTATGACCATTGCAGTGTCCCGAGGTTACGTTATCCCGTTTTGCAACCTCTTTGACAAGCAAAGTCAACGAGGAAGCCAGATTCACTTACCAACCGTTTTACTAATTTAACAACTGCAGTGATTCTCTGAACAACTGTGGCACGAAAGGTTGTAAACTGGGGGCAAAATTCACTTAACAAATGTCTCAGGAACATAAACTTTGGGTTCCATTTGCTCCCAGCAGCTGCCACAGTCAGCATGTATTTCTTTTAAACTCTCTTCCCAGGTGTGGCTAATGAAGGGAATCAGGGCCCTTTCCTCCCCCGTAAGCCACACAACCCACGTTGCTCTCTTCTCCATTCCTCCCTGCATGCCCTAGGATGAAGAGGAGGTAGGCCTGGGGTCTTCCTCTGAACTCCCTCTCTCTTGTTCTGTCTCTCCCCCTGCTCTGCCCAGCTGGACTTTGCCCTTCCCCAGTTTCCTCCACAGCCAACGAAGCCACACTCCCGCTCCCTGTCAGCTGTTTGTCTTCCTCCTCAGATTCAGACTCCCACAGGGGCATGACAGAATGGGAGATAAGAAAGGCACTCAAGATGGGCTGAACTTAGATCTTTTGCGGACGTAGGGACTCGTGACTGATGACATATTTGACCCCTCCCTCGGTCTAGGCCTGGTCATCTCCCACAGTGAAGTTAGTCACATGGTTAAGTGAATCTGTGTCAGACGGTCGCAGAAGGGGATCACATGACCCCGGGACACTGCAACCGTCATAAATATGAACCAGTTGCGAAGCAAGATTTTTGATCATGTGACCACGGGGATGTTGCAATGGTCATAAGGATGAAAAATGGTCATAAGTCACCCCCCCTTTTTTTGTAAAAGTTTTATTTGGGTTTTCACAAAACATAATAAAAATAGAACATCTTTTTTTAGAGAACAGCATGATTCCAGATTATCACATCTCCATACAGATATAAACTCAGTTACATATTCATCTTTGTATTCAATTTCATATGTTGTCACCATTTTATTAATTTCTCAATAATTTTCCCCTTCCCTTACTTTCCTCAATCTTATTTTATAATTATCTCATTCCCTTCTAATTCAATTACGTATCTTTTTTCTAAATTTCTATACCTTTCTAGTCATTATACTTGTACTTTTGTCTGTCCTGTTTACAATTTCATACATTCTTTTTCCACCATCATCCCAAAAGGGAAAAGAAAATTAAAAATTCCCTCCCCTTCCAGGCATTAAAAAGCAAGGTTTCCCCTGTGATTACCAAGTAGAGTGTGTCACTTTTATATCTTATAATTGTTAATCCTTTTAAATCTCATTAAACATTTAATTTATACATTATACAATTATAACATTCAGCTTCTAATATCTGTTTTATATTATATAACTCTTATCAACCGAATTCGGCTTGGTACTTTCCCTTAAAAATACACACTAAATTCTAAAAAAAGAAAAAAAATATATAAAAATAGTGAATAAAATGGTTCCTCTATTGAAATTCATCCTGACAACTGATGTTGATGTCATTATAAACCTTTCACATTTCTTTTCAATTGTGCTTTATAAATCATTAAAACCAATTAAAGTATTTTCATTCCTTCCTATTCTTTCACTTTTATTCCCTTTTAAGTCCCTTTTTTCAGTGCCATTATAACTTCAAACAGTCACTAAGGGATCTGTTGTAAGTCGAGGGCTATCTTGTAAACTGGCATGTCTTTCAGAGTGACTCCCTGACCTCTTCTGGATTTCAAACCAGGCCCCAGAAGGTGTGAGTCATACAGCATTGTTTGAATGCATTCAACTCCTTCAGGGCTGAAGGCCATGACCTCAGAATGATGTCTGTAGTCACCCTCCCAAAAGAGGAAGAAATTCAAAGGTCCCTACCGAAAGCAAACTTGGATCTCAATCATATAATTCAATTGACAAAATATAATCAATACAATGCACTTCATCATCCTTTTGCTCACGTTAAAAAAATTACCATCGTGGCAGAAACATTTGGAGGACCTCCAGGGGCTCCAAAAGAGATCATGGACAGCTCTTAGGCCTCAGTCTGTATGTTTTAGTCCAAACGTTGTATAGGTTTCCTTCAGACCCTTAGCTGAAGTGTTTGTGAGGGAGGACTTGTCTGTTTCTTCCCTCACCTTCAGGGCAGCAAGCTCCCCTGGGCTTATCTGGACGTGTACTTTTGTCAATAAGTTTGCGCAGGGTACTTATTATCCACTTGACTAGCCCTTGCAATAACAGGAAATGCCAGGAATGTCCTTGCGTCAAATTAGGCAGTTCCTATTGCTTTCTTAACCAATGGCCCATTTGGGTCTTTCCCTGCTGCAGATTAGAGGCATAACTAGCAACGGGCATTTAGATTTATATACCACTTCAAAGCCCACTCTAAGCAGTTTACAAAGTCAGCATATCGCCTCCAACCATCTGGATCCTTAGTTCACCTCCCTCGGAAGGATGGAAGGCTGAGTCAATTTTGAGCCCGTCAGGCTCGAACTGCTGGCAATGGGCAGTCAGCCTTCAATACTGCATTCTAATCACTGCGCCACCACGTCTCTCGAATGGGGAATCCATATCATGCGCACAAACCCAAACCCAAAGTAATTTTATAAGGTGGTGCTCGTGTGTGTGTGTGTGTGAGAGAGAGAGAGAGAGAGAGAGACTAGGTTTCAAACATGTATGGAAGGTGATTGATTGATAGATTAATAACAGATTCCACCTCCTCCTCTTCTTATTCTGCTCCCCTATCTTTTAATTGGGGCTCAGTACTTGAATTCTTACAGTATTTTACTTGTCTTTCAGATTTTCTTTATAGCTTTATCTTTTAATATTGTAAGCTGCACAGAGTTGTCGTGTGGTAAAATGCTGGGTAACAAGCCAATAAATTTTACAGATAGATAAAGAGTCTTTACACTGATATACAAGATTGTACTTCAAATGCAGCATTGTTCCAGAGTGTTTTGATGGTAAAAAACCCCTCTCCTCAGTGCAATTTTATGAGATATATCTGGCTCATTGAGTAGGACCACAATAGAGGCCCCTGACCATTGTCATCCAGGTTCTTGCAATTTATTGAGCTGACTTTTTGTAGGGCGTTATTGTGACCAGGTTCAAACAGATGCCATAACATGATATGCTGGCTTTCTTTGGTCACGACTGCTCGTAAACTGTGATTTAGTCTTAGCATGTTCTATGAAGACAACCTATTAGGGCACCAACTACAACTGAACACGTAGCACAACGTTCGAACCAGTTCTTTGTGGGGCCTACCCAGGAGGATTTTTGGGAAGTTTCAGTTAATCCCAACTTTTGCTGCATGTGAGCTTGTGACAGCTCTGACTCTTAGATAGTGGAGAGTATCTGTAGCTCAGGGCTGAACTGTGGGGTCCTTGCTGCTCTCTGAGCTTGTTGGTTTTCTTGCAGACATTTCATTATCCAGCTAGGAAACATCATCAGTGGTAGAAGGGAGCGGTGTTTGCTCTTATTTTTATATACCCGTCATTTGCCCTTGTTGGGAGAAATAACCATGTGGTTTACTTCCAAGTGGGAAGAAAGATACTGGAAACATGGAGGCCGATTGGAAAGGTGCTTTAATGATGAAGCAGAACCACCAAGCCCATAGTTCCCTAGTGCAGCTGAACACATGGAGTTGAGAGTGGGGGGTATTTATACCTTCTCTTGGGCTTTGCACTTGAGCTTCCTGTTCCTGTGCAAGAACACGTATTCTATTGGCTGTTGTCATACTCCCATGGGGCCATGTTCAAATCCTAGGAGTCTGAGCTAAGTTTGGTTGAAGTTTGGCTGAGGCAAATGAAGGGGCTTGTTGAGCAATTCCTATTGTGGCTGAGGGCTAATCCTACTTTTTGTTCAGACCTTGCTGCAGGGAATTTTTGCCTATGAATAGAGCTATCTATCTCCTTATCTCTTAAGTGCTGGCATCTGCTGTGGGCTATTAAGAAAGGTGGGGGCTGCTTTCCGACAGCATGTTTCTCCATTTTTCATCCAGGGAAATACAATATTTGGCTTTTTAAACATATTTCTCAAAATATTTCATTCTTCTAGGAGAGGGATGGGTGCTACCTTTCTACACCCCGTTGGTGGGAGTGGTCTCGGTGGTTCCTCGATTAGGCTGTTGTTTATTGTTAGCTTGTTTGACTCATCTGGTAGTTCCTTCCTTCCAGCACTGATGATGTTACCTAGCTTGGTAATGAAACGTCTGCAAGAAAACAACCAAGCTCAGAGAGGACCAAGGACCCCTTAATTCTTTTCTAAGAATTTTGCTGTATCTTAACTATGTCGAGATCCGGCATTGAAGCTCATTTCTTATTTCTGCCACATATCATCCTGCTTTGTTTCTACGGCTTCGGAAGTTTCTCGTGAAGGAGGCTCGTTAGTGTAGCTAATGAGAAGAAAACTGTAGCTTCAGGAGACAGTTTTGCTTTAAATTGATATTTCAGTGGCTCGATTGAATTTTATATTTGTAAGCCACAATATGTACGAAGTAGGGGAGGAGGTGGAAAGACAGGCTGGGAATTTATTTAAATTAATGCTGAGGCTACCGCTGCTCTGAGCTGTATTTTTGGATTATGACTTCCCCATCAGTGGAAGAGAAGTGCAATAAATATCTCTGCCTCTCAACATCTAATACAATCCGACAGTGTTCAATTTGCACTGGGTGCAGAAATGCGGTTAAAACGCTGTTCTCCTTTGTAACAAATTCTTTTTAAGAATTGCTTGTGGTACATAAGTGTACTTACCAGCTGATATTGGTCCGCTGCTATGTTTTTCAGGCAGCCCCATCTATCTGCTCTTCTCTATTGTTTGGAGACTGAAATGTACCAAGAAGAAACACGGGCTTGAAGCTTGCATTGATCGCTTTCTCAAATAAAAGTTCCCTGGGTACTCCCCTTCCACTTTTCACTTAATGACCGATGCGCCTTGGGTTTGTGATGGCAACTGGGATTGTCTTGCTAAAGGATACAGTTGCGGAATGTCACACTTTGTGGCAGTTCTGGTCCCAGTTGCCATCGTAACCTGAGGGACTAGCTGTATTCAGTATGTTGGCTGCCATGAAAAATACATTTACAAAAGGCAGGATAAGAATATAATAGACAGTCCTTGTCTTACAACCAGAATTGAGCCCCAAAGTTCCATTGCTAATCACGGCAAATGTTAAGTGAGTTTTGTCCCCTTTATTGCAATTTTTTTTTTTTTTTGGTCACGACGATTGATCAAATCCTTACAGTTAAGTGAATCATGAGGTCGTTAAGCAAATCCAACAATCATTGACTTTGCTTGTCAGAAGCTGGATAGGAAGGTCACAAATAGCGATCACATGATCCCAGGACGCTGTGACAATCATATATACAATGCCGGTGGCCAAGTGCTCGAATTTTGACCATGGGAATACTGCCACAGTGGTAAGTGTGAACATCGGTCATAAGTAATTTTTTTCAGTGTCGTTTTCAAGAGCTCTACTGGCACCGCGGTTAAAGTGCACTCACTATTAAGCATAGAGACTTAGAATCGCTTTATTGTCACTTTGAATATACACTAATCGGCATACATTAAAATGAAATTTCATTGCATACAGCTCTCAAAGAGTCACCACCTCCAATATACACTTACATCATCGTCTCCTTTTAATGACCCCATAATCCCTTGTGGGGTGGAGTCTGGGCAACTGAATGGAGCTAGCAGAGTGTTTTAAGGGCTGGATGCCCTTCCTGTGATGACCCAAAGGGGCGTGTCACAAAAGCAACAAAGTCACAAAAATAGGTAAAGTCCCTTTAATTCCTCCAACTTGGCCTCCAATGTCCAGTTATCATCGGCTGGAGAAAAACTCTCCCAAGAACACTTTTTAAAAAAAAAACTCAAAGTACATATAAATTATAAAGAAAAACCAACACAAACCGAACTGCAGCAATTAACGAGACAGGGCAGGATAAAGGATTGCAGATGTCAAAAGATAACGAAATACACACACTTGGGAAGACGCCAGAACTCCGATAAGACTTGACAAACCAACATAATTTCACGCTTTGCTTCCAGCAACTTTGCCATGCGCAGTTTGCCCTTTCAAACAGTCTTCCCAGCTGCAGCCCATTAAGGGGATCAGGGCCCTTTCCTCCTCCGTAAACCACGCAACTCACATTGCTCCCTGCGTGCCCTAAGATGCAGAGGGTGTGGGCTCGGGTCTTCCTCTGAATGCCCAGCGGGACTGTGCCCTTCCCCAGTTTCCTCCAGAGCCACACTCCCACTCCCTGTCAGCTGTTTCACCTCTCCCTCAGAATCAGATTCCAACTGGGACATGACACTTCCTGTCGCCAGTGCAGAGTTTTGTTCAGCAGATATATTCTCAGTGTGCCCAGAGAAGGAAATATCTGCCTCTACCTAGGATCAAACTCAGACGAGAGCTCCACCTATAGGCCACTGCATCACTTCTCCAATATACGCTACATAAACATGACAAATTAAATAAGTAGGTAGGTAGGTAGGTGGATGGATGGATGGATGGATGGATGGATGGATGGATGGATACATACAAAATTATTGCAGACAAAACTCTGCTCACAGCCTGGAGATCCATCCTGACAGGGTTCAGGATGGACTCAGCCTTCCATCCTTCCAAGGTCGGTAAAATGAGGGCCCAGGTTGTTGGGAGCAATATTCAAAATAATGCTTCTGCATTGTAAACAGCCCAGAGAATGCTGTAAAGCACCGTGGGGCGATATGTAAGCCTCAATGCTATTGGTGTTGCTATTGGCTATTGTAACTTCAAATGTATGGTTGTAATACCTAGGGCAACCTGTCGTGGCAGCGTGGATGCAACAATGTGTATAATACAAAGTTGGGACACTCCGTTGAGTACGAAGATACAATATGAGGAATGGCTGCAGGTTTTGGGTCTGCCTAGTCCAGGGGTCTCAAACTCAATTTGCCTGGGGGCCGCTGGAGGCAGAGTCTGGGTGAGGCTGGGCCGCATAAGGGATATTATACTTTCATATCACGGTGGGGGCCACATGTTATCGTCCTGCGGGCCGCAATTGGGCCGCGAGAATGAGACCTCTGGGCTAGTCTAAAGAAAAGAAGAATAAGGGATGACATGATAGCAGTGTTCCACCAGTATTTTGAGGGGATGCCGCAAAGAAGAGAGGGGCAAATTATTCTCCAAAGCACCAGAACGCAGGAATAAGAAACAGTGGTTGGAAACTAATCAAGGAGAGAAGCAACCTGGAATTAAGGAGAAATTTCCTCACAATGAGGACAATTAACCAGTGGAAGAGCTTGCCTCCAGAAATCGTGGGCACTCCATCACTGGAGGTTTTTCAGATTAGACAGTCACTTGTCTGAAATGGTATAGGTTCTCCTGCTTGAGCAGAGGGCTGGACTAGAAGACCTTCCAAGGTCCTTTCCAGATTTCTATCCTATTCTATTTTTTAACCCATTCCATTCTTTGCAGAATTTGTTTTGCGCTGTTTTAAAACTAGCCCTGAGGTTTGCAGCTGTGCTTGTATTGAGAAGGATCTTTGATTTACCTGAGCAGTGAAGCTGTTCCAGACCCCCCGAATCTTTTGGTTGGCTGATGTCTGTTGGTTTCTTTCCCGTAGATCATCTGGATGCTGAGTTCCTGGCAAGCAGCAAACTTCCCACCAGCCACGCCCAGGTCAATGAAGAAATCAACGTTGCCTCCTCCGATAGCGAAGTGGAGATTGTGGGTGTTCAAGAACATGCAAGGTGCTTATTAGGTTTTTCCCATTTGCTTCTGGTTCTTTTTTTTTTTAATTCTGACTATAATTAAAAAGCTGGAATAAGTTTTCAAAATGACGGACGTTAGGCTTTGGGGGTGATGCTTTTGTTGCCTGCAAAATGGCTTTTTCCCAAAGGTGCTTTTTCAAGAGGTAGCTGGACTGCCTTTGTTTCTCCTGGAAGACGTTTTCGCTTCTCATCCAGGAAGCTTCTTTGGTTCTGAAGAGTCAGAGCTGAAGAAGCTTCTTGGATGAGAAGCGAAACGTCTTCCAGGAAAAAATAAAGGAAGCCCAGCTGCCTCTTGAAAAATCCAGAACGGAAGAAGCTTCTCATCCAGGAAGTTTCTTCAGTTCTGAAGAGTCAGAACTGAAGCAGCTTCTTGGGTGAGAAGCGAAACGTCTTCAAGGAAAAAAACAAAGAAAATCCAGTTCATCGTCTTCAATTTAACAATCCCATAATCCCTTGTGGGGTGGAGTCTGAGCAACTGAACGGAGCTAGCAGAGTGTTTTAATGGCCGGATCCCCTTCTTGTTGCCAATGCGGAGTTTGGTTCAGCAGATATATTCTCATTGTGCCCAGAGAGAGAAAATATCTGCCTCTGCCTGGGATCGAACTCACAGCCTCCTGATGGTGAGGTGAGAGCCCCACCTCTAGGCCACTGCACCACCCCAAAAGAAATTTTTTTTAAAAAAAAAGGCACCTTTGGGACAACCATCAACGGGATGATTGAGAATCTCCATAGACACGCCAGGTGGCTTGGTTTCTTTTCAGGTTAATTTTAGATGTAGAAGCAGCATTTAAAAAAAAAAAAAACATGGAATGCTGGGCTTCAGAGAGTCCGTAAAAAACACGTGGTAGTTGTGACAAAAGCTGCTTAAACCAGCCAAGTCAGAGCAGAATCACCCTACAAGGAGAGAAGCTCAAGAAGTAAAGAGATCTTTCTTTGAAACAGGAACGAAGTCTGTCAAGCAGGAAGGGGACAGAGCATCCCAGGCGTAGGCAGAAGTGAGATGAAGGCAGAGAAAACCCATGAGCTGCCAAAAGGAAAGGCGAGCAGCAAGAGTGAAGAACTCTATGAGCACAGGTGCCAAAACGAAGCTCTTCCCTCGTTTTTCGGTTAAAGCCCAATTTGCAGAACCGTGTTCGTCCCCTCCCCTCCTCCCAATAGCACAGGAGTCTCCAAATTTGGCAACCTGAAGACTTGTGGACTTCAACTCCCAGAATTCCCTGGCTGGCTGGTGAATTCTGGGAGTTGAAGTCTTCCAAGTTGCCAGCTTTGGAGATCCCCTGCCCTAGCAGGTCTTAATCGTTAAAGGTTAAGCTTTAGTAAGGTTAACTAAGGAATTAAGGTTAAGATTTTTGGGGTTACGTTTCTGTTGCCTGCAGAAGGCTTTTCCCCCCCAAAAGGTGATTTTTTTTTTTTTTTCAAGAGGCAACTTGGACTTTCTGGTTATTCTTTGAAGGCCTTTCGCTTCTCATCCAAGAAGCTTCTTCAGCTCTCCGCTTCTAGAAGCGAAACGTCTAGGAAAAAGTAAGAAAACACCGAGAGAAGAAGATGTAATTTTTAAAAAATATTAGATTGCACAGAAATGGATAGACTTTGACGTTAAAGGTAAAAGAGAGTGAAGATACAGAATATTTTCAAATATGGGATTGGTTTCATAAATGGTTGGGTAATAGAAGTAGAAATTAGGAGACTGGGAAAACATTACGTAAGCAATTGACCCAGACAATAAATACACTGTTATGTATGTTAATTGAAAAAAATGCATCAATATATATTAAAAAAAGAGAAGTGAAACGGCTTCAAAGAAAAACTAGAAAGTCCAGTTGCCTCTTGAAAGAAAAAACCATGGCCTGGATGACTGAGAATCTCCATAGTTATTAACCATTAAAGGTTAACCCAAAAGTATCTTTCCCCTTCAGTGTTTCCTTCCTTGAGAGGAGAGATCTGAATCATATGCAGATGTCCAGCCTAAAAGGGCAGCCCTTCACTTATCCTGAAGGTTATTCCAGCTTTTTATAGGGTGCAGTGAATTCTAGTTGAGCCTCCTGGCCAGTAATATTAAGATTTAGACCAAAGGGTTCCTGGGGAATGAGAAAATAGAAACTTTTTCCCTCAGTTGTTGAAACAAGCCTCCAAACCTAACAGAAAGGGATTAAGGCAGGTAATTGAAAATCCAGGAAGTCCTCGACTTACAACCACAATCAGAACCAAACCTTCCGTCACTAAGCGATGTGGTTGTTGAGGGATCGATTTTATCACCTTTTTTTCCCCCCTTGCGGGTGTGAATCGATTCACAAGCTTGTTAAGTTAATCTTGTTCAGAATTTTGCAGCGTAAATTCAGAGCCAGAAAAATAAACACAGATCGCTGTTGCTTCATTTAACATCTTTATAAACATATTAAGTAAGTGTTACAATACCAGTTGTGGATTTCTCCAACGTGGAGCAAACTCAGACAGGAGTAGACATGTGACAATCAACTCAACTTCAGCAGAGAAACGGACTTCAGTTTTCCTTTTGTTCAGCAGGCAAGCCAGACACACAGCAGAGGAGAGAAACCATTTCATTTTCAATAGACAGACTCAGAGCTCAACATAGCTGCAGAACTGCAGAGCTTAATACAGAGCCACGCCTAGGCTATTTCTAGTTTCAGTTTCCAAACAGTCCTCATTGGCCGACTTAGTTGCTATGCCTATTCATTGGCTGACTTTGTTACCATACTCTATTCCAGTTCATGAATATACTCTCCCCATTCCTATTGAGTCTGTCTGAAGTCTCCTTTAATAAGATCACAAATGATGATCACCTGATCTCAGGGCGCAAGTGGGAAGCTGCCAAGCACCTGTATTTTGATCACATCTCACACACACACACATACACACACACACATACACACACACACCGTCCCCGGGGACACTCTGATGTTGAAAAATGCATTGGTCATTTTTTTTCCAGCCCTGTTGTAAACAGGAGTCACTGTTACCGTGAGAAGGGCAGCGTATATATTTAATTCAGCAATTAATTAAATGGACACGAAATGAATGGTTGTAAGGTGAGGATAACCCATGCTGCAGTGCCCTTATAAAAAAAAAAATGAAGAGGCTCAGAGAAGGTCAAGTCATATCTTTGTGTGTCTGTGTGTGTATTTATATTTATTATTGGCTTGAGTTAACTGATTCGGGAGTGGTCCCGTTGGACTCAACTTGTTATTGCTAAGTCTATTTCTAATTTAATGAACTTGGGGAAGCATTGCCTGACACGAGAAATCCGCGCACTCATGTCATCTACCTTATCCTGTTAATGTCACGCTTAAAATTTGGAAAACATTGATAGAATTGCATCTTCCTTATTGCCAGTACTTTTGGCAAATCGCCAAGCACCCTTTCTGTAAATATCTCACCGTGATCCCTTGTATTGTTCAATTCCTGAGATTTGGGGGTTGAAACCCATTAACTTGTGGACTAGCCACTTTTTTTTTCCTTCCCAAAGCCCACCCACCCACCCCTTCCCCAATCATGTAGATATTATAAACGTTGGCTTCGATGTTGCATCAGTTCATGCAAAAATACAAGTAAAAGTCAATAAATTCTGAGGATCATGCAATCAATTGCTCTGGGTTGACTATTGGCCGCAGATGGGAAACAATGGCCCTTTTACAAGCTATGGACTTCAACTCCCAGAATTCCTAAGCCATCCAGGAATTCTGGGAGTTGAAGTCCACAGCTGGAAAGGGGCATAGTTGCCCGCCACTGCTATTCGCTCATATTGTTTTCCTATTTGCCTCCCATATTGTTTGATTTACCCTTCCCACTTGCTCCTTCCATTCTTGTTATGAGCCACGGCTCAGCGGTTACAGTGCAGTATTGTGCCAGCTGACTGCAATTTGGCAGTTCGAATCTCACCAGGCACAAGGTTGACTCAGCCTTCCCTCCTTCCGAGGTGGGTAAAATGAGGACCCAGATTGTTGGGGGCAAGAGACTGTCTCTGTAAAGCGCTTAGAGAGGGCTGTAAAGCACTGGGAAGTGTATATAAGTCTAAAGGCTATTGCCCTCCCTCCCCCCCTGCCTCTCTTTCTCCCTTCCTCCCTCCCTCCCTTCCACCCTCTCTCCCTTTCTTCCTCTCTCCCTCTCTCCTTCCCTTCCTTCCTTGCCAATGGTGGCTCAGTGATTAGAATGAAGTACTGCAGGCCAACTCTGCCCACTGAGTTCGATCCTGACTGGCTCAAGGTTGACTCAGCCTCCCGTCCTTCTGAGGTGGGTAAAATGAGGACCCAGATTGTTGGGGGCAAGAGGCTGACTCTGTAAACCGCTGAGAGGGGGCTGTAAAGTACTGGGAAGCATTATATAAGTCTAAGTGTTCTTCCTGTTGTCTGCCAGCAGCAAAACTTTAGGAAATGACAAATTTCACCCCAGAACATAATGGAGGTTGACATCAGGTTGACCGGTTTAACCAAAACAAGCCATTGATTTTTCTCAACTTAGCCAACTTAAACCATTGGCCACCTACTTCCCGTTCCTATTACGGGTAGTCCTCAACTTATGAGCACAATTGAGGCCAAAAGTTACTAAATGAGATACTTGTTAGGCGGGTTTTGCCCCATTTTACAACCTTGCCACAATTTGCTAAACGAGTCACACAGTTGCTAAGTTAGTAACCCGGTTGTTAAGTGACTCTGGCTTCCCCCTTGACTTTGCTTGTCCAAAGGTTGTAAAAAGGGCGATCAGACGACCTCGGGACTCACACAGCAATGGTCACAAGTATGAACCGGTTACTGAGCACCTGAATTTTGATCACGTGTCCCTGGGGATGCTGCAAAGGTGGTCACTGTGAAAAATGGCCCTAAGTTACTTTTTTTCAGTACCTTTGAACTAAATAAACAGTTGTAAGTCGAGGATCAGTTTAGTAGGTTTAGTAGATTTTAAAAGCACCAAATAAAACAGATTTGTTTCGCATTTATTTAGTAGGTTTTAAAACCACCAAAGAAAATAGATTTATTTAGTATTTCCTCAATTCCCTCAACACTATTCACCTATTTACTAGGTCTGCATTACTATTACTATTAATCTTCTCATCACTCCTTATCACCCATCCCCTCCCACTTGTGACTGTATGGCTGTAACTTTGTTGCTTGTATCCTTACAATTTATATGGACCGTTTCCTAGTATGATTTGATTGCTTATTTTAACCTATGACTATAATTAAGTGTTGTACCTGATGATTCCTGACTCTTGATGAATGTATCTTTTCTTTTATGTACACTTTTATGTACACTGCACCAAAACAATTTCCTCGTGTGTCCAATCACACCTGGCCAATAAAGTATTCTATTCTATTTATTTAGTAGGTTTTAAAACCAACAAATACAATAGATTTAGTTAGGAGGTTTTAAAACCACCAAAGAAAATAGATTTATTTTGCATTTATTTAGGAGCTTTTCAAACCAACAAATAAAATAGATTTATTTAGGAGGTTTTAAAACCACCGGTCTCCCCTCCCAGCGGGACTCGGGGCAGCATACGTGTGATTGAGGCATCTCCGGCATTCACCCGAAGAAGCCCATCAGGCATATTCAAGAACATGTCTCCCTCTGCTTTGATCCCAGATACGTCCATCCTCGTGGAGGCGTCATTCAGACGGTGTCTTCCCGGAAACACGGCTCAGGTCTGCAGTGCCCCCGGCAATCAGAGACATGGACAGGTGTGGCCCCTCCTCCGCAGAATTGGTCTTCGCCCCCCGAAGTGGTAGATCTGACGCTGGACGAGGACAGCCGACGGAAATACTTACTGTAAAGCAGTTAATTTTTCACTGTGGTTTTTTTCTTTTTTTCCTTTTTCTTCCGGTTTTTTTTTTTTTTTAGTTATTTAGTCCTTTCCCTTTTTTTTTTTTTTTTTTTTTTTGTGGCACAGAAGTTTCTGGATATCACCTTGGTATCCAAGCATCCACTCCGGGCGTTTTTGTTTTGGAAGTCTTTAGACTCCTTTGGGAGAGTTTCTTCCTCTTCTTCTGCCCCCCTATCCCACCCCCTTTCATTCCCTCCCTCCTGCCTTTAAAACTGCAAAGTCACTTCAGACATTTCTTTGAGAGGCAACACTTCGCTAAAAGAAAGGGAGATTCCCGTCGGCGGAAAGCACAGCCCACTGAACTTCAGAGACAAGCTTCCACGTTGTGTTTTGGTTTTGGTTTTTTTTGTTGTTGTTGTTTTTAACTCTTTATGTCTTTCGGTCAGAGTGGACGGGAGCCACAATCCCTTCTCGGTCCCACCCTGTAGAGAGAGAGAGAGAGTGCTACGCCGGTTGCTTTAAATTCACCACCAAAGCAGAACGTTGCCGCTTTGCTTTCCTTTCCTCTCCGGCAGCGTGTAAGCATTAAAAGACACCGCTGGCCCAACTGGTTCCTGAGTATCCTCATTGTACCTTAATAGGGGGATGGGGGGAAGTTTAACAAGCAGCGAGTCAGGACCAGGGACCTCCAGGGGGCCAACAGATTCAGTCGTAGACGGACCAAGGCTCGGTCCGAAAAGACCCAGTTTGCCTCCCAATTTGGTTTCAAATTCAGGAGTGAATTTTCAGCTGCACTCCCGATTTGAGTTTTCTTAGTATTTTCCCCCTCCCTATACTGAGGGGTGGGCTTCAAAAATTTTGGCAGCCAGTTCTCTGCCTGGTTGCTGGGTGGGCGTGGCCTACTCGGCCTCCTGCACCATGGCTGGGGGGGGGTGTTTTTGCTCTCCCCGGGCTCAGGAGGCTTTTCTCGAGCCTCCGGGAGAGTGAAAATGGCCTCCCCAGACTCCAGAGGCCCCCTGGCCCACTTCCGGCCTTCTGGAGCCTCCGGGAGGCCTGTTTTTCACCCTCCCCGAGCTGCCGCACAATCCCTGTACTTACCTGGGATCCAAAATGGGTGACATGGAGACTCCTGGGAGGGCCGGGGTGGGCAGGGCCAGCCAGGGATGGGATTTGCCAGTTTGCCGAACCAGCCATTAAAAATGATAACATTAGCAACCGGTTCATTCGAACCGGGGCGAACCGATATCTGCCCACTTCTGCCTATGCTACTTTATTCCTTTTGGTCACTTGGCTTGGCTTACAACCTCTGGGGGGGGGTTGTCTTTTTGAAAAGCACAAGGAACAAAGCCGTTTTTTCTTTCTGATCGCCGCCGTATTTTACAGAGGTGGCTTGAACGGACAGGGTCGCAGCCATAATCCCATATCTGGGGGGTGATAGGTACACGATTGTAGGGGGGTGAGAACGATGAGCTATCTTCATGCAAAAGGCCATTAAAAAAGTCAGCCCACTTCAAGTTCCGCTCTCGCTGAGAAACTGTAGTGGGATTTGAGGATGGCTGAGCACAAACTCCGAAATTTTTCTCTCCCGTGACCGAAGAGGCTCAGCACGGTTCTTTCCCAGGGTAGCTCTTTGTAAATTGGAACCGAGGGATAAAACAGGGAAGACTCCGATCTCTGCACGCCAAGCACATCGGAATAAAATTAAGGTGTGCGTTGGTGTGGCACCCATAAAAGAACAGGCAGCACTGCTTTAATAATATAGTTACTATGTAATCACTTGAATGTTTTCTCAGAAAAGTTATCCAAATAGATAACCAGAGGAAGATCGTGGATCTTCATTTCAGTACCTTTTCAGAAATGACCTGCAGCTCATTGCTTTTTTAAAGCATTAACACGAAAACCGGCGCTTTAATTTGACAGAAGTCTCTTCCGCTCTCGGCTCTTCTTCTCAGTTCTTGTTTAAACTGAGCTGGATTTCACCCCCCAATTAAGAATTACGACGGTGACGCTTGCTTGTAGAACCTCTCTTGGGGCCTTAGGCCCAGTTGCCTTCTTTTGCTGCCTGCTGAGATCAACCTTATTCCCTCAAGGGGAGGCGGAATAATGGAGGCATTTATTCTGTGCCCAAGGGCCGGTGTCATTGGGCAAGCTGGCCTCAAATAATTCCCATCAGGAAAACAGTAGTACAGGCGTATCGTATCCTTGGCCCCTAACAATCCCTTAAATCTCCTGGTCATTTTGCATGTAATGACCAAGAGATTGGTGGCACGATCCTGCTTTATGTGACGTGTCCTCAGAAACCGGCCTTCTCGGCAGCAAATGGTGGTCAGCGGACCAAACCTTTGCGTATTCTGAGCACAGTCGTTTAAAGCAGGGGTCTCCCGCCTTGGCAACTTTAAGACTTGTGGCTTTCAGCTCCCAGGGGAACTTCACAAGTCTTAAAGTTGCTGAGGTTGGAGACCTGTGCTTTAAAGGAAACTTTCTCTCTTCCTGCATCCACCCCTTTAAGAAAGGCCAGGCTCACAAATCAGGAAGAATTTCCCTGCAAGTTGGGGTATTTTTGAAAAAAAAAAAATGTTAAGAGACACAACCCTACATTATTGCTCAGGTTTAAAAAAAGAAAGAAAGATCCTGGAACATTCTGTCCTTCGCTCCGTTCAGAAGCAGGAGCTAAAACACGAGGTAGATCCAGTCCTTTGAATGTCACGAAGCCTGTTCAGTTGTTTTTTTTAGAAAAAAAGGGAAATTCTGTTGCTTGGGTGAGGCTGCGGTAGTGGAGCCAAACAGGTGGGTGAAAGCTGTCGGGTGTAGAAATTCAAAGGGGATTCATCCATCCTTAAAAAGGACAAATGAACCCAACCACCCCCTTTACAGAATTGTGGGGTGTAAAACAGCCAGGGATCTCTTAACCAGGGAAGAAAGAGGTTGCAAGCCTTGGTTGCTTGAGTTGGCACCTTTGTGCCTCAACAACCCTTAGCGTGGCGAGGCCATTATATCAGATGGGAGTGGTGTGCTAACCACACCCGAGCACACCCATGCACACTCGAGAAAGCCTTCCTTACACTAGAACCCCCGCTCCCCTAAAGTTGATTTCAAGGATGTGAAATAAGACCTCAACGATTCGGGAAGAATTGCAGTCCTGCATTTCTTGACGTAAGGAAAACTCTCTTTTTTCCCCGCTTAAAACTGAGCATTGACATCTTGTGAAACGGGAGTCTTGTTTCATACAGAGCAGGGAGCTGTTTACGCTTCTCCCCTCCTTGCTTAGTCAAGAGAGAGACCGGCCTTCACTAGGGATGGGTAGCACGCAGCTGTCCAAACGGTGCCCAAATGCAGCTCTTCCTAACCCACATGGATTAGCGCAACATCCGAAAGACCCACCGTTGCTCATCCCCATCCTTCCTCTTGTGGTTCTTAAGGCAACCGGCGGTATGTGTCCAGAATCGCCTCTTTCCCTCTCTAAGGGTTGGCCCCGCCTCTCACCAGGAGGCAATCTCATAATTTCCACCTGGGAACACCCTCCCTAGCTTGCGCGCCGCTACCCCATACATGCGCGGGGAGGCATGCATAAAGTAGCATTGAGCGTAACAAGGCCCTAGGAGCGCTTGGTTCTTCCCCAGTTGAGTGTCACCATAGCCGAAGAGAAGGGAGATCCATAAAATCATCGCAGCTGTGTCTTTCAATTTTCCCACGCCAACGCTAACCCCACGGAGCAATACTAGGAAACGCAGATCTGGTCGGGGTGTCTGAAGACCAGGATCGGGGGAAATCTGGCTTAGAGCACCTGCTTTGTGCTACTTTTAACTTGAGTTCCCTTCTCCCCCATCCCCCCAAAATCCAGAAAAAGTGGGGGATTTTCTTTGGTTTTTGTTGTTGTTTTTTTAGTAAGGAAAGCTATAGCTCTAATTGATCTACTGATTGAATAAATCCAGTATTTAGTCTCTTCATGTTGTTGGCCAGTATCAGAAGCATCTGGGGAGGCATACTGGTGGATTACCTTTTTAAAATGAAGAGGGGCAGAAAAAAACACACAAAAAGCTATTTTTTAGTTTGTATTTGCTGTGACTTCCATGTATATATATAAAAAAACTGACTGCATTCTAACCAAACTTCTTCCAATTGTGCACTGTTGTTTGTTCTAAAGGAATCATGAGGTTTTTAGCTTGGTAACCAGTTTTTTTTTTTCCTCCTCTCTCTCTCTCTTTTTAAGTTAAAAACACTACATTTTCTCTCTCTCTCTCTCTCTCCCTCTCTCTCCCTCTCCCTCTCTCGATTTTAAAAAGGAATCTTAAAAAAAGGATGAGGAAGAAAGAAAGAAAATACAATCACTGGATAGTTTAAAGGATTTGGAGGTTTTTTTAAAAAAATTTGCTATTTTTGTTGTATTTTATTTTGGCAGAGCGACAACCTGTCTCAGTTTGTCTTTTGCTCTATTGAAAAGTGAGAGTTTAGCCATTGTATGGTTAAGGATCAATGCACTTGATAATTTTTTTAGCACAGGCTTGCCAAGCGTGCCCTTCGGGTCAGCTGTCATCTGAACCTTCAGTAAAGTTGGCATTGTTGGCTGCAACCAACCCTCATTTTGTTATAAGCATTTGGCAAGCTGCAGCACCAGGCAGTCGGGCTTCTAATTTTCTTGACAGGTCTGGTTTTAACAGCTCTGTTCATATCTTCCACAAGGAAGAGGGTTCATTTTTATTTTATTTTATTTTATTTCGGGTGGGAGGGAGAGGGAGAGTTAGAATTTGTTTGTGTAACTGCTGAGTTTAAAAAGTCAAAAACACACACAAAATGGTTCTTTTTAACACACATTCTTCTCTTCATGTAATATTTAATGATCTGGAGGAAAAAAAATCAATTGTGGATATATGTGTATACGTAGTATATGCATATATTATGTGATGTGTATATATATATATATATATATATATATATATATATATGCGCAGCAAGATGAGACTTTCTGGATTTTTTGTTTTGCTTTTTTTGAAACAAGTCTGTAGCATAAAGTTTAAACTATTTTAAAGGAAAATAATAAAATAGAGTGAATTATTTAAACAATACCTTACTTTGTAGCCTGTGAGGGTTTTTGTGA